CAAAAATTTCACCTCCATTTCAAATTCCCGCCAAAAAGCTCGCGGCCTCTTTAATTTTCGAAAATATTTTTATCCACTTCAATTTCCATCGTCGCCCGACTCACTCCTTTACTCCCGATTACCTAAGATCCATTCCCGAAGATCCAGTTGCAGTACCGGTTCAATTCCAAGATCATAATCAGTTTCTTCAATTTTCTACCGAGTCAAGTGCAGCGAGTTGACTCGGCCAATGGAGGCAGAGCCAGAGCAGGCGTTCGCTTCTCAAGAGTCCGCGCCGGCAGGAGAGGGATCTAGGCGTGGGCGACCGAGGCTGGTCATCAACGAGATGGTGATGAGGAACTTCAAATCTTACGCTGGCGAACAACGCGTCGGTCCGTTCCACAAGGTTAGGGTTTGGTTTTTAAATTATATCGTTGTTTTTGTTTGGCTTCCGAGAAAGTGGAGGAAAACAAGTGAAAAATGCAGTTAACGTCATAAACGGAGAAATTTGATATGGATTGAGTTGTCTAGTAGAATAATTTCACAATAACCAGTTCAGAATTTGTGAAGTTGTTTTCCAGGGTGAAAACGACTAATATAATTAGAGGGATTTTTTTTTTCTACAATTTGTCTCCTGTCATTGTTGGAAACCAATAATCCATAAGCCTTATGTAGATGAATTTCATGTTGTAAAAAAATGTGTTGTGTAGGTATATAAATCTCTCTATCTTATTCTCTTGATGAAAGGAGAAATTGAAGTGCACAATAGTTGATTAAGTGGTAGTTGCTCTGGATTCAGTTCAGTTTTGGTGAGTTTGTAGATTTTGAGTAAGCATAATGTTAAGAGGTTTACTATATTTCTATGGTTATTTTGTTCCATTGAGATTCATTATTTTTTCTCTGCCTGACTTGGATTCAGTTGTTTGTATTTATGTTTTCGTTTCCTTTCTGTTTTGTTGGGTCAAATTAGAGTTTTTCTGCTGTGGTTGGTCCGAATGGGAGTGGGAAGAGCAATGTGATAGATGCCATGCTTTTTGTATTTGGGAAACGAGCTAAGCAGGTACTATAACATATTTTACCACTCTATCTTATACTAATT